TTTCCCTACCTACCCTTTATTTGTCCCCATCTTTAGCTATATGGATTATTTATTTACTTCATTTATACTTTTCTTTTCTCCAATAATAGAGACTTTAAGCAGCTTACATCATTCTTCTCTCCTCCATTTTATCCTCATAACAACCCTGCGAGGTAGGTTAGGCTGAGAGTATGTGACTGGGCCAAGATCACACAGTGAGCTTCCATGGCAGAGTGGTAATTTGAACCTGGGTCTCTCAAGTCTTAGTCTGAAGCTATAACTGCTGCACCACACTGGCTGGCATGGGGTGGCTGCTGTTGAACAGTGGCAATCAATCATGTGTTAGCAAATAGACTGGTGGTTGCTGTCAGGCTTAGCCCCGAGGAGTCTTCTCTCAAACAAAGGCCAAAACAGCCCTGGGAAGGGCCCTGCCCTCTTCCCCTTCTTTTTAATGACAGGAACAAAGACCTGAAGGCTGGCAATGCTGTTGTGATTGCCTCGCAATGGCCACTTGTATGACCTTTGTTACCTCATTCTGGAGCTCTGTTAGCTACTGACGTCTTTGTGCCTGGGGGGATGTCCGACAGGCCACTCCCCAGAGAATGTTTTCATTCACACTCTCTCGAGTTCTTATCTAGAAGGTTGACTTGCAGGCCCGTAGCCAGGATTTTTTTAAAACTCAGGGGGCCTTTAAATAAATCAGGGGGTACCCTGCACACACCCCTGCACCCCCCCCAGGAAGCGCCTGGGCTGGATGGGAAGTGGGGGGCCTTGGTGGTAAGTCAGGGGGCTGGGCCCCGGGATGCCCCGCTGTAGCTATGGGCCTGCTGACTCGTTTCCCTCACCACTGAGTACCAGGTTCAAGATCTCTCCATGTCTAGAATATAGCTTTGATGATGCTGTTCTTGACTTGTAGTCAGCAATTAGGGCATAAGATATTTAGTTTTAGCTATGTGTTTCATCTTGGGTTTTGGCTGACTTCGCTGTGTGTAGTCAAGGCCCAGCAGATTGAAGTTAGCCTGCTAAATTCGATGCTTTATTAAAATCTCCTTGTAAGCAACCTGGATCTTGCATATGGTTTTCTTGGGACTTATGTGAACTTCAGAGCCTCTGAATAGGGCTCCAAACACCAAGAGTACTTGTTTCTTAAAGCTACAGGTGCAGGTTCTATTATTTTGGGAACTAATTAACCCCCAAGCATTTTTTTTAAGATTTCAGATTTTTCTGCAAACCTAGTGCCAGTTTGGTGTGAGAGCCAGTTTGGTGTAGTGATTAAGTGTGCGGACTCTAATCTGGGAGAACTGGGTTTGATTCCCCATTCCTACACTCGCAGCTGCTGGATGACCTTGGGCAAGCCATAGTTCTGTCAGAGCTGTTCTTGAAAGAGCAGCTCTCAAAAGAGCTCTCTCAGCCCCACCTACCTCACAGGGTGGCGAGGAGGGGAAGGAGTTTGTAAGCCGCTCTGAGGGCAAGGTATAAATCCCATCACTTCTTCTTTTCAGGTAGGTAGAAAGATCTGTCTCATCTGTTCATGGCTTCAATCTCTAGTTTTAAGTAACCATAGATTTTGGCTACATTGAGAATTATACATATTGATGATGATGTACATATCAAATGCAAAACTATGGCCTGCTGTTGTGGAGGGCTGCTGAGCTCCTGGACTAGTTAGGAGCCTGGTCTTCTGCCCCAAAGTCCAGCCTCGACATTACCACTGAGCTCCACTAAAATGAATGAGAAATGTGTAATATGATACCAAGGCAATTCCCATTCATTTTTATACGACAAATACCGAAATACTTCTGAGTGGGTTGCACCGAAGATACGAAGACAAAAATAACAGCAAATATACCACAACAGTTTCACTGACTACACTCAGACTTCCCCAGTCTACGTCTTCAGCCAAGTTATAGAGACTAGAAGTGAATCAAAAGATTACCATTCCTCTTGCACGATGCAAAGTTTAATCTTTCATTCTAGACCCTAGTACATTTCTTCAAGTTGTTGGAAAAGGCAATGCCTGGTGTACAAAGAAGAGAAGACCCTGCAGGGGGCAGCAAGAAGACAACTAGACAGGAGAGTGAGGGCAGCACCTTCTCTCTCCTGTTAGGTGTCATTCTTTGCCAGGTCTCCAGGCGGCTACTCTCAGGGCAATTTCCCCCTTCTTCTCCGAAGTCCTTACCTTCTCTCTCAGCTAGATGTAGTTAGGAACCTATTTCAGCTAGAGATGTAGTTAGGAACCTATTTCTGTGTTAGCAAATAGACTGATCCTCTTTCCTATCAAGTATATTAATTCCTAAATAAACCTTTATCTACTCTTTAATCAGGTTGTGCACCATTGCTGTGTTAATTACTCTGCCCACACAAGTAACACAGGAAAACAGGAAGAAATGGCTCAAACAATTAAGTTCTCAAAGATGGACAATCACACATCCTGCACTCTGATCTGTTCCCCCTCCCCCATTTCCAGGCCAGGGACATTTTGAAAGTTATTATAAGGGCAAGGCAGGCAGGGGTATTCCCCCAGACTGTTCGGGATAGCCAACTATACTTTATCTCAAAGGCTTCCAAGCAGGCAAAACGGAAAAGGCTGAAGCAATAGACAAGGCATGTCCCTAACTCTAGCCTCCCATGGTCCCTATTTGCTGCAGATCGATTCTCAGGGCTTTTCCAGGGCCCTTTCCTTTAAACGATTTTATTAAAAGATAAGTCAAGTATACATAAACAAGATTACTATTTAACATTAATACAGCGTGTAAGTGCAAATTCATTATAATTTTTTTTTAAAGATGTATCCAATCCGGGGCTCCCCACACATTCCCCGCGGCAGCCCCTCCTTGCAAAGGCACCGCGCCTCTCCCCCACTGCCCCCGCCCCTGCCTCTCGCCTCCCACCCCGAAACCAACACCTGGCGTCGCCGAAGCCCTCGCGAGCTGGCCTGCGACCGCGCCACGCCCTCGGGGGCCCCGAAGGCCCCCCCCCCGACAGACAGACCGGACGCCGGGGGCCGTGCCGGGGTGGCGGGCGGAGGTCAAGGGGCCGGGCCGGGGGAGGGCGGCGTCGGCGGGCTCGCCGTTACCTGGGCGGCCATGAAGGAGAGGTCCATCGTGCTGCTGGAGCTGGAGCTCCCGGACGAGCTGGCGGAGAGGCTGGTGGCGAGGCTGGCGCTGCCCGCCGGCGTGGAGGGGTCTCGGGGGGGCTGGGCGGGGGCCTCCGCCAGCAGCACCTTGGGGCGCGCTACCAGTTCCAGCTCACTGGGGTGGCGGAGCCCGCCTGTCGCCGGCTCCCTCGGAACATGGTCTGCTCGGGGCAGGGGCCGAGGGGGGCGGAGAAGCGGCCGCCTCTCGCCGGGGCGCTCCGCCAGCAGCCAGTCGGCGCGGGAGGCGCCGTTGCCGTCACGTGACCGACCGTCCGTCCGACCACCCGCCCTCGCTCGCTCGCTCTCTCCCACCGCCCCACTTTCTGGCTGCTCGCCTCGGAGGGAGGGAGGGAAGCCTGGAGCGAGACGAGATCCGCCGAGCAAGCAAGCCCCTCCGCGTGCCGCGCGGCCGACTCCCAGCCAATCAGCGGCGGCCTCTTCGAAGATGCCCCCCCCCCAACCTCCCTGTCCTCTTTCCTAGGCAGGCAGGCAGGCAACAGGTGACGCCTTTCCCAGCCGCGCCGGGGAACGCAACACCTGTTGGATTTCCGCCCAACCAAGTCTTGAGATTTTTTAAGTGCGGGGTTCGCGCTGTTGTTATTATCCCCCCCCCCCCGAGTCATCTAGCTTTCAGTCCCTGTTAGCGACGTTGTTAAAGTCCTTTATCAAAGCGGAAAGCCAGCGTTCTTGTGAGTGCCAAGGAAATTGAGAACGCAGCAGGAGGAGAGTCGGATCGGGGCCATTCAGGCTCCCATCCGCTGCCCTGGCTCGGCGGCGGAGCATCTGCTTGGCGTGCAGGGGGGGTCCCAGGTTCTGTTCCCAGCAGCACCAGTGGAACGGATCAGGTAGAAGGCGACGTGGAAAACCCAGTGCCTAAGACCCAGGAGAGCAACAGCCGGTCAAAGCAGATGGGGCTGACTTTGATCAACCAACGCTCTGACTCCACAGAAGGCAGCATCGGGGTCATCAGGGATGCCTGACCGTTTTCAGACACAAGGTTTAAATCAGCTTCCTTTTAAACTGACTCCAAACTCAAAGGTAAAACCTACCCTGGGTGAATATATGCATTCTTTTTTTCTTCCAGATCCTCTCCTTCCTTTGTATGAGGGTCAGACACACTTGCCGTTTTAAGTGCTGCTCAGCCCTTCTCCTACAGCTGGTAAACAAAAAGGCATCCCTGCACTTGACCTCTGAATGGATTGATGACCGTGAAGTTTGATTTACTATCGCATTTCAGCCTTGTCCTTTACAATGTGTGTGTGACACCCTCAGATGTGCTTTGTCTGCAAAAGTGCTCTTCTCTCTCTCTCTCTCTCTCTCTCTCTCTCTCTCTCTCTCTCTCTCTCTCTCTCTCTCTCCCCCCCC